ATCGAGTTGTTGTCAGCCATACTCAGGAATGTCTTCTCGGACAAGAAAAGATTCTCATACACGAAGTAGACCGTCCAGCGCTCGAGTGTCCATTCGGGATCCTCCGTTTCTAGGGGTGTTCCAGCCTCGATGAATAGAGACACGAAGACCTGAGCCCGGTCCAACAGCCGCCGCACCTTAGGGTCAGCGAGAGACCCTGCCCAGATCTCGTACGTTCGTCCACGAGTGACATAGTTATGGACAAGCTTTCCTGGCGGTACAAAGTCCTTCGCATCTTTGTCTTCTTGGACGGCGCTTTCGTACTCAGCAAGGGTGGAAAATGCCTCTGCAGGTTTGCACATTTGTCAACTATGAATACAGCGGCCTAGCCTGATTCCAGACTAGATACTGACCTTCTGGGATGAATGGATTTAATGTCTTGAGCAAGTCAACTGCCGAGGTGTCGCCCACGGTCTTAAACTTTTCATCGTAGGAAATATGGAGATGCGGACGGAGGTCATGAGCAGCGAATCGTAAACGGATGATCAATCCCTTGTAGCCGAAAATTGTTTCATCATCGCCAAAAATTGGGTAAGTAAACTGAGGATGGAAGCTAGAGAGCGTCTTCGGTTTTTGTTCACTGGGCTGGACAAGAGTGATCTGGACGGCGTCATTAGCGTCGCAGGTCCCTAAGCGACATGATTCTTGTCAGCTGGACTGGAGCTCAAGTTATCGGGTAGGGAGAGACATCAGAGGAATAATTACAGTCGCCTTCGCTCGCCATATTGCCTAGGAAAAGAGGAAGTGATAAATCCTTTGTTTGAGGGTGGTAGCTGAATGAAGTCAGTCTCTTTCTGATGACGGCGCGTGTTGAATCGCGTTGCGCGAACCTCAGGTATAACCGTTTCGGGTTTAGCTCCTTGGGAGACTTTCTGGAGGTATGACTTCAACACAATTCCCCATTCTCAGAGTTCGCCTCTCACACTTGCTCGCAGCGAGATTCGAGAGTCAATGTTAACACGATCATGCTAAAACCAAAATATTGTTGAATATATACTTGTCCGAAAGGAACCGGCTAGGATGAACGTGAATAATTATAGGTCGTCTTAACTTTGTGTGCTCATTGAGGATATGCCAGTGATCAGTACTTTTACAATGGTTTTTGTTAGGAAAGCAAGTCAAATACATCGATTGACCTATCACTGACTGGACCAGTACTCCGTACATATGACCCAGTGGTCAACCATGTACTAGCACTTAAGTTGGTTATGTGCAGTTGACCTCGGCTGAATGGGTAGTGGTGCCCCATACAAGGCGGCTACGGGCCGCCGTCAATAGCGGGGAGACTAGGGATTCGACTATACTCCGTACTCGTTACGCTCGGTTCTAACCACACCAGGTTCACTTCACATTTGATGTGTATAGTCTGCGCATTGAATCGAACTGAATCAGTACAGATCAAGAGCTCTATCATCCTCCCGGAACAATGTCAGTCACTGACCCGCAGAGGGTCGCCTTGATCGGATTGGGGACTATCGGTATGTCCATGGCCGCGTTGCATTTGTCTCGTGAGAATGTGACAGTCGACGTATTCGACACAAGACCGGATTTCGACCAGTACCTTCTCAACACTTTGCCAAATTTCCTGGATCAAGGTCCATCATCAACCGTGGCTTCATTGATTGCCTCCGGTCGTTTACATATCCACACCTCACTAGAAACTGCCTGTGCGTCCGCCACGATCGTTCAAGAACAAGGGCCCGAAAACCTCGAATTTAAGCAGACCCTTTGGGCTCAGGTTGAATCATTCGCTCCACTGTCTGCGCACTTCTGGACCAGCACGTCTGGCATTGCCGCATCCGCCCAGCAACAAAAGATGAACGACAAAACTCGCTTGCTTGTTGTGCATCCTTTCAATCCACCGCATATCATGCCACTACTAGAGATTGTACCCTCGCCTGATACGTCGCCAGAGCGGGTGGAGTTTGCGCGCGAGTATTTCTCCGTTCCTGGTTCGAAGCATCGACCTGTGGTACTCCAAAAAGAGATATCAGGGTTTGTGGGGAACCGTCTGGCATTTGCGCTACTACGAGAGGCATGCTATTTGGTACAGGAAGACGTGGTAAGCGCAAAAGATCTCGATACAATCCTGATGGCTAGTTTAGGGCCAAGGTGGGCGGGCAATGGTGTGTTCGAAAGCTATCAGCAAGGGGGTGGTGAAGGTGGGATCCAGGCTTTTCTGGACAAACTAGGTGGCACTATGCAGGTAGTGTGGGATGACTTAGGCAAAGTAAATGTGCTAGGAAATGAAGAGACAAGTTGGAAGGACAAGGTGGTCTCGCAGGTCAACGGAGCTTACGGGACCCTGACGCCAGGACAAGTCCGCGAAAAAGAAGAAAGGCTGAAGGACTTCGTGGCGGTACAGACTAAGAAGTACGGGCATGATGTACCTGAAGCATAGCCATAAAAGACCCAGCTAGGATAATGTAGCACAAGAAGTCTCGAAGCCCAATGCGAATATGACGTCATTCGGCGCATACTAGTGGAATCGTTTGAAGAGGTTGTCGAACAAAGTGCAGAGTCATTTGCTTCATGCAGGTGAAGTAGAAATACCAGTTTATACAGATGTACGTCGAGTGCAACTTGCATTGGAATGGACACTTGCTACATATGACATGCAAGGAATAGCTGAGTAGCCATGTTATACCCACCCTTACTCTGGTATTATACGTTTACACCAACAAAGAATTATCCAGACAATTGATTTAAGGCTATCTTAATATTTTCCTTCATACACGTACAATGCGATTATTATCTTTCCCTACTATTGGGTGGATAGTATGTGGGGAACGGCTTGCGCGTAGGCGAGCCTCCAAGCTCTCTATGGTTTCTCCCCGGCAGTTTAAATAAACATCAACCTCCACAATCTCTACATCTGCAGGTCTCAAGGACGACATGGCTGTTACCTGTGGGTTTGATCTCGATAAACTATAATTCAGAAGGATTCTCCTTTCGCCGTTAAATGGATAGAATTGAGTTGGATAATACATCACCACGCAGGAACGTTGTCAATGACGTCTCACGAGACAATTCAAGGGTGCTAGACTATAGCGACGGAATACATACAATGCAGGAAAGAAATCGCTTGCGCAAGTGGTGGTTGACCAATATCCGCCCGGAAGTAGCCGCTGAAGATGGAGACCCGAGAGACTTCCTTGGTATGCCGTTTAGAAAAGATGCAACAGCTTGATTTCCACTTACTTACCAAAAAGTACAGCCCTTGAGAGAACGTTTCTAGCGTATGTTCGCACGGCAAATGCGCTTGCTTCGTTTGCGATCGTCGCAGCTCAGCTGTTCATCCTTCATCATGATTCTGTCGTGGCTGGGAAAGTACTGGCTTGCCTATCGCTTGCATTTGCTATCTATATCCAACTGATGGGTGCTGTACGGTATTTCAAACAGCAAAGGTTACTTCAGCGGAGAAAGTGCTATATATGGAACCCAGAGAGTATCAGGGTTGCGTTATTGTTCTTTGTGGTAAGTGTTTTATATCGACTTTGCCCTTTTGTGGTATATACTGAAAAGCCTCTGAAGGTATCTACTGTAGCCCTAGTGCTAGTGGTTGTGTTTGGATAGCCCCAGCGAGGAGGAAGTGCATGTGTTGGCTTGCACGCTCTCCGGATATTAGCTTCGTCTGAAACATACAGAGTCTATATATATAACCTCTAGAAAGTTACAGCCACAGCACAGTAGCTTCAAGCCCAATTGATCTCCAACGAGCTTTCGATGCCATGCTTGAATGAATTGTTTGTTAGCTGATACACCAACAGTAGCATATGGTGTCAAGCTCAGATATCTTAATCCGGCTCCTGTTTCATTTTTCTAAGAAGTGTTAAATTTACAAGAGATAGAAGTAAAAGATGATCGACATTGTCGAGGGGATTGAGTGCTTTTGCAACCAAGAACAGGTACTAACCTACTACAGACTGTCAAATATTCTTTTCCCTCCGCAAGCATCCCGAAACAACGAATGCGGCAGGCGAAACTTTGCCTGAAGACCTTAAGGTTAGGAAGGGAAAAGAAATTAATTGCGGTCGAGGAACGTGCGTCCGAATTAAGAACATTTCGGCAGACACCCATGAGCCCTGTAGAAACTTTTATAGAAACAAGCTCAGGAGGTGCTAGCTCTCAATGTTCGGTATACGTATTATCCACTGTTGTTTTACATTCAATCTATTTATTTCACTTGATTCCGGTCAGTCCCCTGGTGCTGTGGGTCTTCCCGCGGTTCCTTTTCCAACTGCGGCGGATCGCAATCTCTCCAACCACACGCCACGTCTTCAATCCAACCTTGACGCTATCGCCGAAGGATTGTTTGTTGCGCCGATTCTTCTTATTCTCCAACTCATTCGCCGTATTGTGTTGCCCGTACCGCCATACCACACATTGGCCGAGCAAGGGCGTTAGAAAGGTGTGTGCGGGAAACAGAACAGTCTCAGTTATTCCGCAATTGGCATCATGATTGAAGTCCTTTAAAGAATCCGAGACACAGCTCTGGAATAAAAGAGGCCGACCATGGAGGGACTTTTCACTTTGCTCGCATTGAGCATTGTGATGGCAGTTACGTGAGTTTATTTCCTTTGATTACCCCACTATTTGAGTGCTCGCGAACTAACTGGCCCATCTTGTATAGATCCTTCGTTGTGGGCTCGTTACCACTTGCATTCACGCTTTCTTCCTCCCAGTTGCGACTGATATCATCCCTTGGTATGGGAGTCTTGGTCGGGACATCCTTGATTGTCATTATCCCGGAGGGGGTAGAAACTCTATACAGCGCAAAATTACCTAATGACCGGAAAGCACTCAACAGTCGCTCGACGGGGCCCGTGACTTGGCAACACCAGAATATTCCGACTGTCGCTACTGCTATGATCCATACCCCTGAAGAAATTAACTCGGTTGATGTCCCTGTATCCTCTTTCGCGGATAAATCTACACTATTGCCTAGTTCCGACTCCACGCCATATGTCACACGCCGTGAGCAGAAAGGAGAGGAGACATCAGACGAAGACAAGAAGAATACACACGATGATGAAGGGAGCTCGCCGCATGCCTGGATTGGGATCGCGCTCATTAGCGGCTTTATCCTCATGTACCTCATCGACAAGCTCCCGGAATTTGCAGCGCCGGCCAAACAGCAACGGACGCCATATCATATTTCTCTCGATAACCTAGGTTCTGGATTGCGCCGCAATTCATCCCCCTCACGAGAAGGGGGCCTGCTGGATGCTGGAAATAGCCCCAGGAGCAGCCACAGCTTCGCAACAACCACCGGACTTGTTATTCATGCGGCCGCCGACGGAATCGCTCTGGGAGCGTCGAGCTCCGATACTGGCCTAAGCTTCATTATATTCCTCGCTATCATGGTCCATAAGGCCCCAGCATCTTTTGGTCTTACGTCAGTCTTGTTGAAGCAGGGTCTCTCCAGCCGCGCTGCGAGAGCGCATTTATTGGTCTTTAGCCTGGCGGCGCCCTTGGGCGCGTTGGCGACTTTCTTATTTGTACAAGTCATGGGCTCAGGGTCCAGCAATGACTTGACTGCTACTCAGTGGAGAACTGGTGTCCTTCTGTTGTTTTCGGCCGGTACATTCTTGTGAGCCTTCCATAACCCAAATCTTACCCAAGAATCTACGATGACTAATGGTCGTTTTGCAGGTACGTCGCCATGCACACAATGCAGGAGAACAATCCAAGTGCTGTCACACGTGAGACACAAGGGAACGGATATGGCGACTCAAGAGACCTTCCGTCCAAGTCCAACAAATCCATGAGGGATTTGATTGCTTCTGTTGTCGGC